TTCTTTTTCTTCTTCCCCGGTAGAACGAGCGCGTTGCTCGCATCAACTCCCTTCAAAGTGTCCTTGTCTGAAAGAGCGCAGACAATTATTAAGGCCCCATTAATAATGCCACCTTGAGGTGGCTCTGGTCCTGCCTCCCATAGTCCCCCTGACCCACATGGGGGCCTCCAGAGCCTGGACACAGGAACAGGGGAGTCTGTGAGGTCAAATCTTTTTGTTTGTTTGTTTGAGACGGAGTCTCGCTCTGTCGCCCCGGATGGAGTGCAGTGGCGCGATCTGGGCTCGCTGCAAGCTCCGCCTCGCGGCTTCACGCCATTCTCCTGCCTCAGCTTCCCGAGTAGCTGGGACTACAGGCGCCCGCCACCTCGTCCGGCTAGTTTTTTGTATTCTTTTTAGTAGAGACGGGGTTTCACTGTGTTAGCCAGGATGGTCTCGATCTCCTGACCTCGTGATCCACCCGTCTCGGCCTCCCAAAGTGCTGGGATTACAAGCTTGAGTCACCGTGCCCGGCCCAAATCTATTTTCATAACAATACTATGATGTTCTCAAGGCCAGGCGCAGGGGCTCATGCCTGTAATCCCAGCACTTCAGGAGGCTGAGGCAGGTGGCTCACTTGAGGTCATGAGTTCCAGACCAGTGTGGCCTACATGGCGAAACCCTGTCTCTACTAAAAATATAAAATCAGCCAGGTGTGGTGGTGGGCACCTGTAATCCCAGCTATTTGGGAGGCTGAGGCAGGAGAATCTCTTGAATTTGGGAGGTGGAGGCTGCAGTGAGCCAAGATCACACCACTGCACTTCAGCCTGGGCGACAGAACAAGACTCTGTCTCAAAAAAAAAAAAAAAAAAAAAACCCCCCCCCCCCCAAAAAAAGAAAAACAATACTATGATGTTATCTTTTTGTTTTTTTGAGAAAGAGTCTCGCTTTGCGCCCCAGACTAGAGTGCAGTGGTGCGATCTTGGCTCACTGCAACCTCTGCCTCCCAGGTTCCAGCAATTCTCTTGCCTCAGCCTCCCGAGCAGGTGAGATTACAGGCATGTACCACCATGCTCAGCTAATTTTTGTATTTTTAGTAGAGACTGGCTTTTACCATGTTAGCCAGGCGGTCTCAAACTCCTGACCTCAAGTAATCCACCCACCTCAGCCTCCCAAAGTGCTGAGATTATAGGCGTAAGCCACCATGCCCAGCCTGATACTCTCTTAAGAGCGTACAGTAGGGCCGGGCGCGGTGGCACACGCCTGCAATCTCAACACTTTGGGAAGTGAGGCCAGGAGTTGGGGACCCGCCTGGCCAACATGGTAAAACCCCGTCTGTACAAAAAATACAAAAACGAGCCAGATGTGATGGCATGCCCCTATAATCCCAGCTACACGGGAGGCTGAGGCACGGGAACTGCTTGAACCCGGGAGGCAGAGGTTGCAGTGAGCAGAGATCACGGCACTGTACTCCAGCCTGGGCGACAGAACAAGGCTCTATTTCAAAAAAAAAAAAAAAAGAGTGTATAGTGGACTAGGCTAGGTTTCCATCTTATCTATTTCTAAACATAATAGTTTGAATGTATACAATCTAGACAAATTTAGAAAAATTCAGTTATCATATCACTCTTCAACTCCACCAATTGCAGAATCTTAGGTAGGACAAACCTTAGCAAACACCTGTGTCTGCCTGACGTCCGATGCTGGGGTTTGCTGTCTGGTGTTCCTGTGTGGGGAGGATCTGATTCTTTTCTTTTTTTTTTTTTTGAGACGGAGTCTCACTTTGTCGTCCAGGCTGGAGTGCAGTGGCACGATGTCGGCTCACTGCAAGCTCCGCCTCCCGGGTTCACGCCATTCTCCTGCCTCAGCCTCCCGAGTAGCTGGGACTACAGGCGCCCGCCACCTCGCCCGGCTAGTTTTTTGTATTTTTAGTAGAGATGGGGTTTCACGGTGTTAGCCAGGATGGTCTCGATCTCCTGACCTCGTGATCCACCCGCCTCGGCCTCCCAAAGCGCTGGGATTACAGGCGTGAGCCACCGCGCTCGGCCGAGGATCTGATTCTTTGATTAACTGTTTGGTTTCTACGTCTTTATGTTACAAAGAGGACAGGTTTTGTGACCCTAATTAAGTACAGTAGGCTGGATGCGGTGGCTCACACCTGTAATCCCAGCACTTTGAGAGGCCGAGGCAGGCAGATCACCTGAAGTCAAGAGATTGCGCCCCTGCACTCTAGCCTGGCGACAGAGCGAGACTCCATCTCAAATAAATAAATAAATAAATAAATAAATAAATAAAAGAAGGCAATCTGAGTCATGTTCTTACGAGATTCCTCTAGGCCCTGAGAAAGGCAGGGATACATGGAAATGTACTGTTCTGATGTGAGAAACAACTTTCCCCAAATCTCTGGGTCTGAGAGACCTCAGCCCCTCTGCTCAGATGGTCCAGTTCCAAGTGTCAGTCCAGTGTCTACAGCTGTCTTTGAGGTGCCATCCTGAATTGTCACTGCCATCATAACAGTTGTCCCCTGTCCCGGGACACACCCCACCTCTGTAACCTTTCTTTACGTTTCAAAGCATTCTCGTTTCGGTCACCAACATATTTTCCCAAATTACCACCTCCAAAACTCTGATAGGAGGTAGGACAGCTACCACAGGTTAAATATCCCTTTCCAGAAATGCTAGGGACCAGATGTGTCTTAGATTTAGGAATATCTGTATTCTATTTACTGGTTGAGCATCCCTAATCTAAAAAATTTGAAATCTGGAAGTTCCAATGAGCATTTCCTTTAAGTGTCATGTTGATACTCAAAAACTTTAGAATTCTGGAGTATTTTGGATTAAGGATGCTCAATGTGTGCTACTGGTCCCATTCTGCAGACGTGAAAACGAAGGCACAGAGATGTTAGGGGATCTGCCTCAACTCCCAGCCTGTCTGTGGAACTTCTGTTTTTTTTGAGATGGAGTCTTACTCTCTCACCCAGGCTGGAGTACAGTGGCGCAATCTTGGTTCACTGTGACCTCTGTCTCCGGGTTCAAGCCATACTCCTGCCTCAGCCTCCCGAGTAGCTGGGACCACGGGTGCCCACCAACATGCCTGGCTAGTTTTTGTATTTTAGTAGAGACGGGATTTCACCATGTCGGCCAGGTTGGTCTCGACCTCCTGACCTCAAGTGATCTGCCTGCCTTGGCCTCTCAACATGCTGGGATTATAGGTGTAGCCACCATGCCCGGCCTATCTGTGCAACTTCCAAGGACTGAACTCAGACTATCAGATTCCTACTCTGACATTCTTCCCTATACCCTCACTGCCTTCCAGGTCCAACAAATGTGTGGAAGAGAATGCTGATTAGTGGTGGAAGGAAGCAGACTCCTCCAGCACCCCTGGTGACCCTTCCTTCTGTTTCTAGAATCTTTCTTAATGGCCAAGTCAGCCTGGCCCTTGGGGTCTTAACACAAGTGGCTGGATGAGTTCAATTTTGGAACATGTTTAGTTTCAGGGGCCTACAGGACATCCTTGAACCCACACAATTGCTTCACCACAAGCCTCCTCCAAGAGCACCCCTACTGAGGTGCTAAATGCCCTTCCGGTGTTAAATCCAGTGGTTCTTCCGTCCCTCCCTGATTCCGAAGCAGCACCTGACCCACAAGGAGAGTCCTCCTCCCTGGTCCCAGGGCAATCACAGTGTCTCAGCTCATTACACACCTTCCGGGCCACTCCATCTCCCTTGCAGGCTCCTTATTTCCCTCTCCTCCAGGGCTGGACTCATACCCTCAGTCTTCCGACTAAATAAATACGTATATACACGTCTGATTCCAAAATGGATACCTCCACCTGGACTTGCATCTCTTTTTTTTTTTTTTTTTTTTTTGAGACGGAGTCTCGCTGTGTCCCCCAGGCTGGAGTGCAGTGGCGCGATCTCAGCTCACTGCAAGCTCCGCCTCCCGGGTTCACGCCATTCTCCTGCCTCAGCCTCCGAGTAGCTGGGACTACAGGCGCCCGCCACCACGCCTGGCTAGTTTTTTGTATTTTTAGTAGAGACGGGGTTTCACCATGTTAGCCAGGATGGTCTCGATCTCCTGACCTCGTGATCCACCCGCCTCGGCCTCCCAAAGTGCTGGGATTACAGGCTTGAGCCACCGCGCCCGGCCGGACTTGCATCTCTTGAGTATCTGAGTCAACAGCTGCCCGCCTACTCTCCCTGCCTGGATATCTAACAGGCTCCAAACTACCCATATCCAAAGCTGAGCTCTTGGTCCTCCCCACGAGCTACCCACTCAATCGCTGGGAGTCAATCTTTGTCACCGCCATTGTTTTTGTCCACAAGCCCTGTCAGCCAGCAGATACTGCCAGCTTGGCCTTCAAAACACATCTTGAATCCACCCATTTCTCACCTTCCTACTGCTGCCCCCTGGTCCAAGCATCACCTCCACCTCCTCCCCATCCTGGTTCTACCTTTCACCTCTACTGTTTTTTCTCAACACAGCAGCCAAAGTGATACTGTTAAAACATAAGCCCTCATCTGTCCTCCTCTGCCCTCATGGCTGCCCTTTCCCATAGAGAAAAAGCCCCAGTCCTCGCCAAGACCCCAGTCCAGGCCTGACCTGCCCTGGCCCCCCGTTTTTTCTCTCATCTCCAGGCAGTCACTCAGGCCTCCTTCAGATCTTGACTCTAACAGAGTGATGTCTTCTCCAGCAACTCTATGGGATGCTGCAACCTACCCAATGACCTCTTCTGTTTTATCTGCTCACGGTATCCACAGAATTTTCTATATCTTTATTCTTTGCCTGTCTCCTCCTATACAGCAGGTAACTCAGGGAGTTTCTAAAAATCTACCTTCTGCTATGTCTCCAGTGCCGAGAATAGTGCCTGGCATGTAATAAGGGCTACTACTAAAAAGGGGTCTGAGAGAAATGTCAGCCAGCCAGGAGCTGAGCAGACAAGACTGGGCTGAAAATACACATTTGGGGGTTGCTGAAGATTATAAAGAGATTATAATCGAAGTCATGGGAAGCGAAGGAACTACTCTTATTATTTTTGCCAAATTCTCCATGTTACTATTTGAGGGCGAGAGAAACCACGGGTATTCCCCACACACTGTTAAAACTAGGCTGTCACTAAGCCTCTCTCCTTTGGATCATCTGAAATGGGGGGACCCAACCCACCCCACTGGGATCCTCACCCCAGAGTCCTGAAGGCAGGGCACAGGCCGCCCTGGGAAATTCCCGAAATCCAGCCCCCGTTCGGGGTTGTCTTACCCTCTAGTTCCAGCTGCACGGGGGGCGGCTCGGGGGAGCCCTTCGAGGGGCCGGGACCCGCCTGCTGGCGCCCCTTGATGTTGTACCGCCGGCGCAGCTTCCCCATGGCGACTAGGCCCGGGTGAGCGCTACAGCGGGTCGGACCACCAAAGCAACCCGAAACTCAGCCCACGTGGGTTCCCGGACCACCAACTCCGGCCGTGAGACTTCCGGGTTACGTTATCGCGAGAGCTGTAACTGACTTGGCCGATGAGGGGCGGGGTTGGAAGAGAAACCATGCGAGAGGAGAGGCGGAGCCGGGTCGGGCAGGGGGCGGGGCTATTTAGAGGAGGCGGGGCCTGAGGTCCCCGCCCAGGCCGAAGATTAAGTCCGGGGCTGTTCTCGCTTGCGGTAGTCTGGGTTTAAATATGAATTATATCTACTGATACTAATTTGGCTGCTTGGGAGTGGAAGTGTTTTGCCACCTTTAAAAATACAGCTCACCCCCAATACTCCAAACTTCTTCCCCCCAACCCTGGTTTGCGCATCTGCATTTTCTGATATTCCTACAAGAAACGTATTAGTCGTGTAGTTTTAAAAAGGCACCAAATATTTCCATCCCAGGGACAGATGGAAGATCTAAAAGGAGGCCTCTACGGGCGCGGTGGCTCACGCCTGTAATCCCAGCACTTTGGGAGGCCGAGGCGAATAGATCACAAGGTCAGGAGTTCAAGACCAGCTTGGCCAAGATGGTGAAACCCCCGTCTCTACTAAAAATACCACCAAAAAAAAAAAAAAAAAATTAGCCAGGCATGGTGGCAGGCGCCTGTAATCCCAGCTACTCGGGAGGCTGAGGCAGGAGAATTGCTTGAACCCAGGAGGTGGAGGTTGGCAGTGAGCCAAGATTGCATCACTGCCCTTCAGCCTGGGCAACAAAGCTAGACTCTGTCTCAAAAAAAAAAAAAATTAAAGTTGTCTATTAGACATCACATTGTAACACACTGGGAAACAATGCGTTATTATTATTATTATTATTATTGAGATAAGGTCTCTCTCTTTTTTTTAGAGATAAGATCTCGCCCTGTGGCCCAGGCCAGAGTGCAGTGGTGCAAGCACCACTCACTGCAGCCTTGACCTCTCCTCCCACCTCAGCCTCCTGAGTAGTTAGGACTACAGGGACACACCACCACGACCGGCTAATTTTTCTATTTTTTGTAGAGATGGTGTCTCCCTATGTTGCCTAGACTGGTCTCAAAATCCTGGGCTCCAGGGATCCACTTGTCCTCCCAAAGTGCTGGAATTACAGGTATAAGCCACCATGAAGGCCTTAATGACATTTTTAAAAAAGCATAATCAGCGTATTATATCTGTGGGGTTTTCTGTTTGTTTTCTTGTTTTTGTTTTTTTGAGACAGAGGTCTCTCTCTGATGCCCAGGCTGGAGTGTAGTGGAGCAATCTCGGCTCACTGCAGCCTCCACCTCTCGAGTTCAAGCTATTCTCCTGTCTCAGCCTTCCAAGTAGCTGGGATTACAGGCACCCACCACCATGCCCATCTAATTTTTGTATTTTTAGTAGAGATTCACCGTGTTGGCCAGAATGGTCTCAAACTCCTGACATCAAGGGATCCCCCCACCTTGGCCTCTCAAAACGATGAGATTACGGACCTGAGCCACCGTACCCAGGCTCAAATCTGTGTTTTTATGGATTTTGTTGCTTAGGATGACAGTGATCTAAAGTTTCTTTTTTAAATGTGTTTATTTAAATAAATTAAAAGTTTAGAGGCTGGGCGCGGTGGCTCACGCCTGTAATCCCAGCACTTTGGGAGGCCGAGGCTGGCGGATCACGAGGTCAAGAGTTCGAGACCAGCCTGACCAACATAGTGAAACCCCGTCTCTACTGAAAATACAAAAGTTAGCTGGGCGTAGTGGCGTGCTCCTGTAATCCCAGCTACTTGGGAGGCTGGGGCAGCAGAATCGCTTGAACCTGGGAGGCGGAGGTTGCAGTGAGCCGATATGGCACCACTGCATTCCAGCCTGGGCGACAGGGCGAGACTCCGTCTCCAAAAAAAAAAAAAAAAAGTTTAGAAAACCTTTAAAAAATGTTAAATAGGTATTAGTACACTTGCCTATATTTCCTTCTAAAATGTAATATATCAATGAATTACCTTCTAGATGGTATAGACCATCCTAGACAGCAAGAAGAAGGCAGGTACCTAACAGAATGGATGGATCTCACAAATATAACGTTGAACAAAAGCTGAGCATGGTGGCTCACACCTGTAATCCCAGCACTTTGGGAGGCCGAGGCAGGCGGATCACCTGAGGTCAGAAATTTGAGACCAGCCTAGCCAACATGATGAAACCCGTCTCCACTAAAAATACAAACATTAGCTAGGTGTGGTGGCACGTGCCTATAGTCCCAGCTACGTGGAAGTCTGAGGCAGGAGAATCACTTGAACCTGGGAGGCAGAGGTTGCAGTGAGCCAAGATCATGGCCACTGCACTCCAGCAGGGCAATAGAGTAAGACTCCGTCTCAGAAAATAAAAAATAAATAAAAAATAAAGTTGAACAAAAGAAGCCAACCCCCAGAGTCGTACTGTGTGGTTCCATTTATATAAACTTCAAACACATGAATCCCCTAAATTTTAAGAGGAGCCTAGTGAATGGGAGGGGACAAAGGGAGGCTTTGGGGGAAACTGGTAATGTTTCATTTCTCCATCTGGGTGCTGGTTACCTTGTGTATTCAGCTTGTGAAAATTCATAAAAATTTATATGATTGTGTATTTTTCTGTATATTATACCTTAATTTAAAAGTTTATTGTTATTTTTTGTAGAAATAGGTCTCACTATGTTGGCCAGGCTGGTCTCGAACTCCTGTGTTCAAGCAATCCTCCTGCCTTGGCCTCCCAAAACAGGCGTGCGCCACTACACCCAGAGTAAAAAAAGTTGTTTTTTTTTGTTTTGTTTTTGAGACAGAGTTTCACTCTTGTTGCCCAGGCTGGAGTGCAGTGGCTCAGTCTCGGCTCACTGCAACCTCCACCTCCCAGGTTCAGGCGATTCTCCTGCCTCAGCCTCCCGAGTAGCTGGGATTACAAGCAGGCGCCACCATACCTGGCTCATTTTATATATATATATATCTCTGTTTTATTTTGTTTTGAGACAGAATCTCACTCTGTTGCCCAGGCTAGAGTGCAGTGGCACGATCTCGGCTCACTGCAACCTCTGCCTTCCGGGTTCACGCCATTCTCCTGCCTCAGCCTCCCGAGTAGCTAGGACTACAGGCACCTGCCACCACGCTCGGCTAATTTTTTGTATTTTTAGTAGAGATGTGGTTTCAGCATGTTAGCCAAGATGGTCTTGATCTCCTGACTTTGTGATCCGCCTGCCTCAGCCTCCCAAAGTGCTGGGATTACAAGTGTGAGCCACCGCGCCCGGCCTCATTTTGTATTTTTAGTGGAGATGGGTTTCTCCATGTTGGTCAAGCTGGTCTCGAACTCCTGACCTCAGGTTGCCCGCCTCAGCCTCCCAAAGTGCCAGAATTACAGACGCTAACCACCGCACCTGGCCTACAAAAAAGTTTTTAAAAAGATAAACAACACAGGAAAAAATGTGCAAAGGATATGAATACATAATTCAAAGAGAAGTAATTCAAATGGCCAATAAATCTATGAAAACCTTACTAGGAATCCAGAAAATGTAAATTCAAAAATAAGAGCATTTTTTAATCTTTGGATTGGCAAAAATTGAGTTTTATTTTCTTGGTTGTCTAAAAAGAAAGTTGGTTAGACTTGATTTGTTTGATTTAGGATGCAAACAGGGTCCTTGCATTGCATGGGTTATTATGGCTCTTAAGTCTTTAAAACCAGGCTGGAGTGCAGTGGCGTGATCTCGGCTCACTGCAAGCTCCGCCTCCCGGGTTCACGCCATTCTCCCGCCTCAGCCTCCCAAGTAGCTAAGACTACAGGCACCCGCCACCACGCCCGGCTAATTTTTTGTATTTTTAGTAGAGACGGGGTTTCACCATGTTAGCCAGGATAGTCTCGATCTCCTGACCTCGTGATCCACCCGCCTCGGCCTCCCAAAGTGCTGGGATTACAGGCTTGAGCCACCGCGCCCGGCTCCGCTCACCTTTTACACCGCTTATGTATTGAACGAACTGGGTCGTTTGTCTCGTTGAATGCCCCACATGATGGAGTTGGTTGGTTGCTTCTGCTGCTTGTAAGTTTTCCTTATCTGCCATATTTCCTGTAAACTATAGGTTTGATCTAGAGGCCCCATCAGGTTCATGCTCAACTTGTCTTGGCAAGAATCCATCGCAGGTGGCGCTGGTACTTCCTGGCACTAAGATCGATTGGCGGGGCCGGGACTTCGCGGCTTGGCCCCTCCATTTTCAAGTTCCCCGCCAAACCCTCGCCTCTTGGTTTTACCCATTTCTGATGATCATCGCGTGAATCCATCATTCCATTGAGGGGTGCCAAATAATTTTCGGATTCTCTCATTCATACTCATGTATTAGCCGGACTGTGCTAAAAGAAAGTTTCCCTCCCCTACTATTTTGGGGCTCTGAAATACAGTTCATTCAGGAAGAGCAGGAGGATGCCTGATGCTTTTTTGTTATTTAAAATTTTCAGAATGAATGAGCTGATGCCCACGAGGGCCAATTTTGGGGTACCATTATAATAAATTCAGGGAGATTACATATATGTCTATTTCATGTTTTCCAATCAGTTGCGGTCACTTCCCTGGTTGAAGCTGTTGTAAGTTTTACAGGCACGGGTTGCTTTCCCACGGATAAGTCAAAAGAAAGAATTTTTTTTTTCATTGATGAGAAGCCGTACCGGGTCGGGGCAGGCTTCCGGGAGGCGGGCGCGGGGCCCCGGGGCCGGGTCGCGTTGGTCCCGCGCCGTGGGCGGGGCGCAGCGTGGGCTGGGCCGTCGCGCCTTTGCGCGCGGGGCGGGGCGGGTGGCGCAGCAACGGCGGCGGCGGTGGGTAAAGGCGCGGCGCGCGGCCCCCGAGCGCGCCAACCCTGCCCTAGCCGGAGCCCGCGGCGGCCCAGCGCACGGCCCTCACCCGGCACCGCGACCCCGCACCCCGCCGGCCGAACATGGGCGCGCGCGCCTCAGGCGGGCCCCTGGCCCGGGCCGGGCTCCTGCTGCTGCTGCTGGTGCTGCTGCTCGGGCTGCTGGCCCCGGGCGCGCAGGGGGCGCGGGGCCGCGGCGGCGCGGAG